ATGTAAACAGTTCCACATTTTATTGTACTTGGGACCAGTGTTACTGGGCCTCCTCACTACAGAAAGATTAGCTGGGGTGGGGAGGGCTAGCCGACCAATCCATCCACAAACTTTACTTCCGTGCAGGGCCTGAACCCTGCTACCACAGCTCCTATGCGTCTGGTATTGGGTTCCCTGGGAAATGTGCTGACTCTGTCTCTTCTGCCTCAGTAGGCTATACAGAGCCATGGCCTGTGCCCTTCAGCAGCAGAACCTACAAGGGAAGGTGATAGCGGTATTGTTCCCTTCCTAGGGTGAATCCTTCCTCCAGCATAGTTACTACTGCCAGCACTGGCACTGCAAATTCAGTCTCTGATTTGCACCGTCACTACAGCTATGATGAGGTCTACTCTGTTCCTTTAGTAAAAATACATGAGAGAGAAAGAGAGAGAGAGAATGCATGTGTGAGAGTGTGGTTAAATGATTGCTTGACAGAAAAGGGGTAGGACCCATATTGTTATCAGTAAACACACGTTACCGCTGATAAGTAGTAAACACTTAACGCTTAGGACTTGTCTATACTGGTGCAGCACTTCAGGCAGGGGGAGGGCAGCATTGAACACACTGCCCATCCAAGTCCCTAGGCACATTGTAGACCTAGAAGTTTGCCAGTGAAGCTGGTCTGGGCTCAGGTGCACTGAAGATTGAGGTTTAAGGGTCGCTGGTCTAGAGCATGTCTGCAGCTTGGGAGGGCAGGGTGTGCTCAAACTTTCCCGTTCCCCCCCTCCCCCAGTACCAGGACCTATCACTACAGCTGTATAGACAGGCCCGGAGCTGAGATGAGGGCTTCTGTAAAATAAGCTCCAAGGTGCTTACAGTTTAGATAAAGCGTGGGCAACAGGGGGCATTTGTACACCCATTGTACAGATGAGAAGTGGAGACACTGAGGGGTTAACTGATTAACCCAAAGTGGCACAGGCAATGTATGGCAGAGCTGGGGATTGGACCCAGATCACTGGAGTCCCAGTCTAGCACCTCTGCCACAAGAGCATGTTTCCCTCAGTCATTTCCTCTTGTTTACACAAGGCCATGGCATTTTACAGTTGATTTTGGGACAAAAGCTTCTGCCTGAGCACTGCACCATATCATTATAGCACCAGAGGAGACGGTTTTGTTTTCTTGGACCAATGAAGAAATTTTATTTTTAATTAAAAATAAAATTCTGACTTCTAATAAGACATATTATAATTGCAGTAATTAGTACTTTCACCACTTGGGTGTGTTGAGGACATGGCTTAAAATCTGAGTGTATTGAATCAACACACCCTGTTGTGTGTGTGTTTATTAAATGCTGAATCACCAGAAATGTTACTCAGTCCTTCAGTTAGTGACTTACTAGGAAGGCTTTATATATTTTAATTTATGGTAAATATGAACCCCAAAATCACTTAGTCTGGCCTTTAGGTCATTTGCAAAGACTTGTAAATACAGGAGGTCAAAAGTACAGTCAGATCAGAAGTAAGATCAACAGCTATTCCTCTGCCTTAAATCATAATGCATTTTGCTATCTCACTACCCCCTCCCGCATTGTCTTCCTTAATAGATGGGTCACAACCCTTATGGAGGTGGATTGTGAAACACTGAACTAGATTATTGTAAAGGTGCCTTCTGGCCTAAAGACTGGAGACCTGATGCCAGCTTTAACTGATAGGGCTGTGCCTAAGAACAGAAACCTTGTAGACAAAATGAATGTCACTCTTCAGAAAAGTCCATCCAACAGATCAGCCATAGTTACCATAGACATTTATGTCTCTCAGTTACAGAATCAGGGTCAGAGAGGGTGATTCTGTGCCAGTGAATCATGTTGCATTCCTTAAGCTAGGTGCTTTGTGCATTTGCAACTTGCTTGATGTAAGAGGCATCTCAGGGAGTCACAGTTCTCAGTCTTGTTCCTTTTGATCTATGCCACTAACAGATTATTTCTCTGCTCTACTTAAGTGCAGTGATACTGGCCTGTGCATCAGGAATGGAGCCAAAGCAATGCCCATTCATCACTGTCTCTGCTCAGCTATGTGGGAGTTAGGCCGGTGTGAAGCAGCAAGTATTTGCTTTGGATTCGGATTCGGCTGATTTGGAGGGACAGCGATTTGGTGATTTGAATCACTGTCCCAATTTGATTCGGCCAATTTAGATCCAGAGATCCAGCCCCGATTCAGAGATTCAGCCATAGACTATACAGCAGCAGTCCTCGACAACACTGGACACAGCTGCGGCGTTGTCGGGGGGCAGGTCAATGCCCCCACAGCAAGGGAGGATTGGGGCTGGGGCTGGGACAAGCTGCCCAACCCAGGAGGGGGGCTTCTGCCACTGCACGTCGCTGCACATGGCTGGTCCAGGAGCTGCTCCTGTGGTGGCTCCTCCAGCAGCTCTCACCGCCAGTCTGGGAGGGCACAGGAGTGACATGTGCCCATGGATCTGCGTGGGGTGGGCTTGGCCAGGCTGCACTCTGGCTGGGCAGTTGAAGGCACTGGGAGTGGGGGCTATGCCCTCCTGCTGCTTGTCCAGCTGGGGTGGGGAGGCGCAGAATGGTGCCACTGAGGCCTTGGCCAAGCGGCACGCAGCGGCGGAAGCCACTCCAACCTCCCTGTGCCTCCCTGACAAGCCACAGCTTCACCCCACCCCACTCCAGCTGGGCGAGCAGTGGCAGGGCATGGGGGTGGGCACATGCACCCAGATTGGGGCAGGGCCGGCGGCAGGGGCTACGGGGAATTTTAGGGTGGCTGCAGCACCCCCATAGCCTCTGCTCCACTGCTCTCTGTGGGGTGGGCAGAGCCAGGGCTGTGCTCTGGGCAGCAAACCCCTGCTGGGCTGCACTCTGCAGGGTGGACAGAGCCAGGGCTGCACTCCAGACTGAGGCTGGGACCAGCTGCCCAGAGCACAGCCCTGGCTCCACCCGTCCTGCGGGCGGCTGGGGCTAGCCTCCCAGAGTGCAGCCCGGCCCAGCCCACCCCACACAGATCCGGGGGCATACGCCTGCTCCCATGCCCTCCCAGACATGGGAGCCACCAGAAGTGCAGGTCCTGGACTGGAGGTGCAGCCCCCCTCCCTGAGTCCTGTGCCTCCCCACCCCGGCTGGGCAGCTTGTCCCAGCCCCAATCCCTCCCTCACTGTGGGGGCGTTGATCTGCCCCCCGCCCCCAACCCAAATGCTTGTCCAGCGTCGTCAAGGACTGCTGCCTGTATAGTTTATGTCTGACTCTCCAAATCAGCACCAAATCTCTCTGAATTGATTCAGAGGCTTCTGAATCGATTTGGACCTTTTAATGGGTCTTCCAATTCAATTCAGATTCAACTGCAGAATCAGGCTGAATCTCCTCCGAATTAAATTGGCTGCCAAAGCTTTGCACAGCCGTAGTGGGAGTGACATGAACTGTGGGCATGTAGGCTGTTCTCTCATGCTGTACTGGGTGGGATCCAGTGGCTCCATGACTTGCTGAATCCTGAGGAACGGCAGGTTTAAATTCCCGTATTGCCAGGTATTAGTTCTGTATGAGTTTAGATGCATTTCCCCAATTTAATCTAGAATGTGAAGGCAGGAAGGGAAGTTGGGAATTATAGGGGGAAGTTTGTGAGAATGTGGGCATTTTGCCCATGCCACTGAGAGAAACATCATCAGGAGACAGAAAAGTTTTCTGTGTGGCTCAGCAAGAACAAGTCACTTTCCCCCTCTGAATAGATATAACTACAGAGCTGCAATTCAACTTTGCCCAAACTCTGCCTCCCCTTCAATAGGTTGAGTTGCACCTTTCTACATGAGAAAAGTACTACTCCTGCAGGGTAAGAGTAGCAAAATCAGACTCTGGTGTTGATCTGTAGCTCATATTAAAAATAATAATTCAGTTGTAGATAACAAATAATAATGACATTTAAATAGAGAGAAACTGGATGAATGGCTACCAAGAATGGCAGTAGGTGAAGGGTCTGATTCAAAACCAATTGACGTCAATGGGCTCCTGTTGACTTTGGCTCACTGACTCATAGAGTCTTTCATCATTATTATTAGTCACGTTTATTATGGTAGTGCCTGACAACCAGCCAAGAATGGGCCCCTGTTGTGACAGGCACTGTACAAACAGAGTAGTAGACAGATAGGATAGACACCTAATGGGGGAAGAAATGCAATATATAAGCCTGGTAAAAATGAGATGGGAGCTAACTTCAGATTATTTCCATAATTTATGTGTGCGTCTGAGTGGGGAGGAGAGGGGGCTAGTTAGGGTGGGATGAGTTAAAAGATAAGAAAAGAATGATAAATGGTTTGGGTCTCAGCAGAAGTGGTGTCCAAATCATAAAATCACCCCCACAAGAGCTCTGACAGGTGACTTCTTTAGAAGCAAGCAAGGAAGTGGATTAAGTGCAAGGCTCTGAGCATTCAGGGCAGCCTTAGCAGGGACTAGCCACATGTTTGCAAGTTGAGCATGTGCTTGAGTGGTCACTACCTTATAGCACCAAGTCCTAAACAGGCCTAAGGAGAGATGCAATGAGGGAGACTGCATTCCCAATGTCTGTATTATACATTTTCTGTAAAAATGCAGATAATGTTAGCACCTAAGGCAGCCAATATCTCCTAAACAACAAATTAGCCTAATTTAAAGGGTTTCAAATTAAATGCAGTATCAACCCAAATCATGGAGCTTGACAGAGCTCTCCACCTATATTTTCCCGCATATTTTCTCATTTTAGAAGCTTTAAACTAAAGCTTTTCTTTCATACTCTGTTGAATCTTACTTAGCAATTAAGGACTATTATGTAGTGAGTGGCTTGATGCTATTAATCAAAAAGGGCGTATGCCTATGAGCGCGCGTGTATGCAGTTTGTGGTGCTGCAAACTGCACGTGGTACACATGCACGCGTTCACCGTGTTACTAATTTGCAGTGCAGCAGTGGGGTTTTGACACTGGGAGATCTGGTGCCCAAAAAAACCCTGCTGCTAAAAAAAAAACAGTGGTTGCACACAGCAGCAGCACGTGCCGTCAGAAACTGGAGCCTGGCCGGCTCTGGTTTCCAGCCAGGCTCTGAGCGGCCAGACTGGCACTGGTGCTGCCCTGGGAGGGCCCCAGGCTCCCAGGTAAGGCGGCTGCCCAGCCTCTCTTACCCCACGTGGGGCAATGTGCCTCATGCCAGAGTGCACATGCAAGGGCATACCTGGGGACAAATAGCAGTGGCACAAATATGTTCTGCTGCTATTTGTCCAGCAGGAGATGCACAGACATGCTCGTGGGGATATGCCCAAAGAAGCTAATAACTTATGATCTTTCTTCCACGCTCCCTAAGATCGTAAGTCACTTTCTTGAGAGGAAAACTGTTTGTTTTCTAATTCTTCATTTCTTATACTTTCAGTTTCTTCAAATGCAATGACTCAGCCGCCACAGGATGAATTTGACAGTAGTGTGGAGAATGCAGAAGCTTGGATGAAGGCCATCCAGGAGAAATTGCAGATTAATGACAACACCAAGGGACCTCGGTCTGCTCTAGAAGCCAGACTGAAGGAAACTGAGGTAAGGAAAGACTTGAGATTCCTAGTCTGGGTATAGTCACGAGCAGCACTGTTGTCACAGTGACTGGCAGAGTTGATGGAGAGGTTGCTGTTAGGGCACTATCAAAGTGGGACCAATAGGGGCCAAAAATAGCCCCAAAGGCTGTTGCATCATTCCCATTTGGAACAGCTCATATCAGCATTCTTTCCAGATCTTCTCATGCAAGCCATTTACTGCTGCATAAAGAAGGGGGAAATTGGATATAACTTACTGTTAGATTAGAAGTTTCCAGTCTTTTCATATATACCATATTTACTCAAATATAAGATGACCCTGAATATAAGATGATCCCCCGATAATTAGATTCAATATATGGAAAATTTATAAATTTGTTATACTTTTTCAGTTATAGAATCTAATTATAGGAGTTTTGCCTTGAATTTGTTTTCTTTCTGCTGCTACAGCGGGAAACATAAATTTGGGGGGAGTCAGGTGACCTCCTTGCCCTCTGCCCTCTCTCCAGTTTTTCCCCCCTGTAGCCCCTTACTGTTGCACCCTGCTCTTCCTGAGCACATACTAGTAAGGGGCAAATTTGAGTAAACAATAATTTAATTCATCCAGAATTTATATATTTTGCCTTTTTTTAAACTGTTGCAGATTTTAGAACAGGTACTGCATAAACATTCCTTTAAGCATCACTTTTGTACCTAATCTACAAACCTTTTTTTTTAATGAAATTTTTTCATGTTTCAAGCCAAATCAGCCAAACCAATTCCAAACCGTGAGTCAATCAAGAACCGTAAGTGGCCCTATTATTGGCAAACATCCTCCACCCCCACCTGGGGCTTCAGATGTTTCCAAATCATTTGGCAGGCATCCTACACGGAGGCCCAAGCCTGGAGGCTTAGGGTTCAGATGCCCCCGAGTTTCACTTGCCCTCAGCCCTACGGCAGCAGGAGCAAGCTAAGGAAGAGTACCTATAGTACAAACTTTTTTCTTTCTTTTTTTTTGTGGGGGGGGGCTGGGAAATATATATATATTAGGGCTGTGCGAAACAGCACCGTTCTGTTTCGCCTTGAGTTTCGATGGTTTGAGGGAACAGTGTTTTGTCTCAAATTTCATTTCGAGTCGAAACAGCTGTTCTGTTTCATACTGTCAAAACAGAAAGGCTGTTTCGCCACTGTTTCGAGTTTCGCTGGGGATGGTGAGTCAGACCAGCTGGGCTGACTTTCCATCCCCAGCACTAGATCACCCAGCCGGGCTGCTTCCCCGACCCCCACGCGTGATCACGCTGCGGGCAGGGGGCAGCCAAGCAGGGCTGCTTCTCCAACTCTGCGCGTGATCACGCCGGGGGTGGGAGGCAGCCGAGCAGGGCTG